CACAATGAGAGAGAAAGAGCATCACTAAAGTAGCAGGTGGACATGTGCACACAGGAGGACAGTAAACCTGTCCCTGAGCCTGGCTATGTGTAGAGTTGGGGGGGAGGGGAGGGGCCAGAGGGGCGAGCTGTGGATCTCATAGACCTGCCTTCCTCTTGCCCTCTGGTCCTGATAACCTCCCCCAGCGGAGGCTGAGCTGAGTGTGCTGTGGGTACCAGGCCCTGCTCAGAGCCCCGGGTGGGCCTCACAGCAATAGGCCCACCTAGGGACATGCACAGACCCCACAGCCCAGAAAACCCCACAGCCCAGGCAAAAAGCCCTTGTGCCTTTTTAGTACTTAGTGCAGCTGGTTCCGTTTCCCAAGGACTCCAGGAGGCAAGGAAGCCTGTGCCCAGGCCCTGGAGAGGGATCCTTAAGGCAAGTTACTTTACCTCTAGACCTCAGTCTTCCCATCTGCAAAGTGGGTCTAAACCAGACTCTTCATCAGAGTATTGAGAGGATTCAGTGAGCACTTAGCAGGACGTCTGGCTAAGTGAGCACCTGGCAGGATACCTGTCCTCAGGGTTGATACTTTCTCCAGAGATGTTCACACCATCCCTGCCCTCAAGCACTGGAGCCCCCACGAAGAAGCTACTCATGGCGAAAACACTTTTTGAAAGGTGACAGTGACCAACTGCCACTATATAAGAAGCGTTTGTGCCGAATGAGAGAGGTGGGCATGTGAATTAATAACGCCCAAGCTGGGGGCAGGAGGACGAGCCCAGAGAGCGCTGGCACCAGGCAGGGGGCAGGACATGTGCTTGACCCACACCTGCAACCTGCACAGATGGCCCGTGAGACGGGAGCCAGGATAGACCACCCTCCCCTCTGGGGCTTCAGAAGCGAGCACAGAGAATCCACGTCCTGTGTTCCTAAATTCCATGGCAGTGATCATGGCATAGACAGACATGGAAAAGGGGAAACGAGCAGTTGTTTGTACTTGCAAAAACGGAGTCCTTGGCGTGCTAATTTGCGTAGTTTCCTAGTCCAAAGAGGGGACCCCCAACTGTGGGGTAGGGAGGTGCCCTCATGTGCACTTTGGGGGCTGGGGATTGTGCTTCAGAAAACACTCTTGAGAAGCAGGCAGCGATGCGCATGGGTCTTCTGAGCAGCTGCCCATGAATAATTTTTAAAAGTTGCCAAATATTTAGAAGTCCAGCTCGTTCGTCATAGATTTACAGAACGGGTGCCTAGGGAAATGGACTTCTTTTCAGCCTTGGCAACATCGTTTTAAGGACCCTCCCCCTTTTCCAGGATGGGCAAAAGATTCTCCCAAACTGCTCATCATTCAGAGAGGTTTCCTTTCAGCCTTTCTTTCATGCGTTAGAAAATACAGAAATTAACAGCTTTGCTGATGCCTGGAAGGTAAACAAGGAAACTGTGAGACTTGGCAGAGTATGAGATCAGTGAGGACCTGAAGGGATGATTCAGAGGCGTTTTGCATTCTCCCTGTCCTTTGAATCAGCAGCAGGAAGCAGGGTGAACTTGGTCCTGCTTGGACACAATGCTGAAGCAGCAGTGGTTTCATCCATTTCCACTGCCTTTGGTGGATGTGATGGGGTTTCAGTTGCTTTCCCATGTGTAGTGATTTTCCTGCTCGTTGGACCCCCAATCGTCCTAGTTGTTGTGCTTGAGTGTCACCATGACTGAGAGTGAATGACACTCCTGCTATTCCAAGGGCTCTGACCAGTGAGTCAGGAGAAGCCGGTCTTGGGGAACACGGGAGCCCAGGAGAGTGCCACGACGATGGAGGAGCCTCACTCTGGGGTCTGATAATTCCAGAAAGATTACTTCAAGTCTAGGGTCCATAGTGTCTAATTATGTGTGTTAGATTTTTATTTGTGTGGCCTTGCTTTTTAAGATTTTAACCCATCGTTAAAAGTTCACATTTTAGGTGCCCTGTACATGTAGAAATACATATATAAACATTTAAAAGTAAAATGCAGGGGCTTCCCTGGTGGCGCAGTGGTCAAGAATCCGCCTGCCAATTCAGGGGACACGGGTTCAAGCCCTGGTCCGGGAAGATCACACATGCCGCAGAGCAACTAAGCCCGCACACCACAACTACTGAGCCCACGAGCCACAACTACTGAAGCCCGTGCGCCTAGAGCCTGTGCTCCGCAACAAGAGAAGCCACCGCAGTGAGAAGTCCACACACCACAACGACCTGCTCGCCACAACTAGAGAAAGCCCGCTCGCAACAACGAAGACCCAATGCAGCCAAAAATAAATACATTTATATATTAAAAAAAAAAGTAAAATGCGGGTGAGCATCCCCAAGTTTTTAAAATGCTGCTGCGCATTTAAAAGAGAAGCCTGTAGATACACCCTCGGCAGCATGCAGTCCCCCCCCCTCGAATGTTTACAATGCTTCAGGCCCAGGGTGTGTACAAAAGGCATCTTACTTTTGTCTGAGCTTGGAAAGATTACCAAGTTCTGTCCATCTCAGAGCTTGACAAGTCGGAATAATTTTAATTGTTTCCTTAAATAGAGCAGGTCCGATGGACTGCTTCTAAATTGTGCCGTTTTGTTCTCTGCTTAGCCTTAGCAAGGTCTGCACGCACAATAACATTGCCGGGTCTTTCCATATCTCATGAGCGATCAGGACCAACCCTGCAGTGCAGCCACTTCCTGTGGGAGTGCCTGCCCCCATGACCTCGCCTGCCCTCCCCGCCCCCACGGTGGATTTCCCCTGCTCCGTGGCCTCGCTTGGCCTCTTTCCCAGGGTCTAGCTGGGCATCCTCCTGCCTCTGCTCCCTGGAAGCAGAGCGGCTGCCCCTGTAGGCCCCAGGGCCAGACCTCCACACTTCCGTGGTCAGGAGGCCCAGGGCTTCTGTGAACCCAGCCGCTCCCATAGGGCTGTTTCTCCCCACAGGAAGTATGTGGCCAGCCTGGGCCTTTCTAGATCTTTCCGGCCCATAGACCACAGTGGAGCTCCTTCTAGGGTTAGAAGGGACTTTTCAAAATTCTGCAGTATGCATGTCGCCCTGAACAGAAGGTCATTTTGTGGGCCCTCCTCCTGGCAGGCAGTGCCCCACACACTAGGAATGTAAAGAAAAGGAAGATGGTCCCTGGAGGAATTACAGCTTCGCTGCGGGTCGGGGGGTGGGGGGCGGTGGAGACAAGAAAAGAAAAAACAAGCAAACCGGAGGAAACCACATTGTAGGCTGGTCTCAGCATCCCTGCTTCCTTGTTCTGTGTGACGCAGGTCAAGGAGCTCACCGAGCCTCCGTCTTCTCATCCTTAAAATGGGTCTCATCTTGCCTCCTAGGACTGGCTGTGGGCTGTGGGTGAGATGCCACAGGAGCCACCGACGCACTCGACGGGCCCAATGAATCAGTAGCTTCTCTCGTTTCCGTTTTCAGAGGATGGTGCTGTTCTAGTTAAGACCAGGAGCCTTTCCAGCTGTGGCACTGCCCCGTGCAAGCTCCTCAGAGACAACCCCCTCCAGAGGGACGTGGGTCTGTCCATGGAGCCAGCCTCCCCCACCCCCCGTTTTTAATGTGCTTATTTCACCATTTAGCTATTCGCTCAGTATTACGGTAGCCATCTGCAGGAGGGCCGTGGGCTAGGGGAAGTGTTCGTGTGATAAAGGCTGACTTCAGAGGATATTCTGGTTGCTTCATTTTTGCTCTAATTCTGCACTTTAGAGAAGCTGATGGCTGTGGTTTCATGTGAACATGTGTGAGCCCCAGGCCAATATAATCTGTGATCTGTTTGTAGAGCCCACTGTTTCATGTATTTTTGCTTTGCTTTAAAAATCACTTCAAAGTTTAATTCAAAATTATGAATCGGGCTCGTTTGGGATTTAGTCCACGGTCCTTTTACTCATTTATTTAACCACCCGTTGACTGGTTTTTTTGCCTTGTGGTTTTTAGTTGGGTTTGACTCAAGGCTGTAGCCCTGCTTCTGCCTATCGCTGGGTTTTGTTTTACATTAAAATGACTCAGCATTGGGCTTCCCTGGTGGCGCAGTGGTTGAGACTCCGCCTGCCGATGCAGGGGACGCGGGTTCGTGCCCCGGTCCGGGAAGATCCCACATGCCGCGGAGCGGCTGGGCCCATGAGCCATGGCCGCTGACCCTGCGCGTCCGTAGCCTGTGCTCCGCAACGGGAGAGGCCACAACAGTGAGAGGCCCGCGTACCGCCAAACAAACAAACAAACAAACAAAAACATACTAAGTGAAAGCAGCTAGTCACTAAAGGCCACATACTATACAATCCCATTTATATGAAATTTCCAGAATCAGCAAATCCATGTCGGAAAATAGATCAGTGGTTGCAGGGGCCAGTGGGTGGGGAGAGGGTGGTGTGGGGGAGTCATGAGCTAAACGGCAGGGGGTTTCCTTTGGGATGATGAAAATGTGCTACAATTAGATGGTGAGAATGGTGGCAAAGCTCTGTGACGGTACTAAATACCATTGAGTTGTATACTTTAAGCAGGTGGACTTCATGGGATGTAAATTATCTCTCAGTAAAGCTGTTGAAAGCCAGAAGAGCATGGAAGCTAACTGAATGGGGAACGAGCAAGCTGGATCCTGACTGAGCTGGAAAACTGGGGTGAAGGCGGGTGTCCTGTGTGGGTTTTAAGAGGCTGTCTGTGGGGAGCTGGGCTGAAGGGATGGCTGGGGGTGGGAGGGGACATTGTAGGTCACAGAAGGAGCCGCTAACAGATGGAACGCCTTAGGGGCCAGAGGCTAACACTTCAGATCCAGGGCAGCTGCCAGGCTCCGCCATCAACCAGAGCCTACAGGAGCATTCGGGGCAGGACACTTTTGAAAGCTGATGATGGCAGCAAAAAGAAGTTATTATCACAGAGACTAAAAGGCCTCAAGAAGACCCCAAATCCTGAGGCAAAGACGGGCACATTCAACTAGTGCTGTAGCAAAAGCAGTGGCTAGAACGAGCATTATTTTTTTTTAAACCAGAAAACTGACCCTCTCTTTTTTTCTTTCTTTTTCAGACTATAGCCTTCGTTTTCCCTTGGTAAGTACAAAACTTTTAAAAAATTTTCTCTGATGTGTAGTTAACTAGTGAAAAAAAAAATGTTTGGGCTTTCAATGTTTGAGAAGTATTATCTTCTAGAGAAAGAAGGCCATATGGTCAGCGCGTTATATTTGAGTTTTATGCCTTCACTGGCTTGAACAGGCTCATATCACACTTTTGGTTACATCATTTTTTTTTTTTTTTCGCGTTCAGAATCTGGCTCAGCTGCTCAGAATCCTGAAATGTATTGTTGAGAACACAATTTCCACACGCCTGCCCCTCACTGACTTGTCCTTACTTTTGAAAGGGCCTCGCCTTATCGCGGTGGCACGCATTCGGGGACTGTTGGCGGCACAGTGGCACATAATTGCATTGATGGTAATTGCTTCTTAAATTGATCTGCTGTGGGGAAAACTGCTGAAAAGGAGTTTTTCCAGATTGCACTTTTAGTGGGAAAAAAAAAAAAAAACAACAGTGTTGGCATTCCATAATTTTTTACCTTTTGAGGCAATATTCCATGGCCTCCAGGTCCTAGTACTTAGTAAAAGAAACACCATCGCCTTTTTTGTGTCCGCTTAATCAACTTAATGCTGTCAGGTTTCCTAAGGAAATTGAGCGAAGACCATCTAAGAGCTTTTGAACTGGCTGCAGCCTGTGGGCAGGGAACACATGGTCTGCCCTGGTAGGCACGCACCTCTTATGAGTGAACCAGGGTGTGGGCCGCTGGGATGTTGCATTTCTCAAATGAAGCACCTTATTTGAAATACCTTGACTCTGTTAAGAATGAGTGTAAGGCTGACGGGTGGATTCTTTGGCCCCGGCTGGCCCCTCTTTTCGGGGGTGTGCCTTTCGTTTGGGCATCAGTGCATATATGGTGATTCCTGGTGTGATCAAGGGCATTTTGGTTGTACAGACTGTTTCTCCTTATCTCAAAAAATGCTAAATATAGTCAAAGATTTATCAAGACAGAGAAGAGGAAAACTTCCACTTCCTACCTGCTCAACTGAGTTTGTTGTCCATGTTCTTTACCCTGTAATTATCGGATGTTGATGATTCCGAATGGCGCGCTTTGCTTGGGCAAATGGTCACGGTGGGATCAAAGAGAAGGGTCATTACTGGAATAATATTACTGGGATGGAGGCTTACTTAGAGGAAGTCAGCAATGCCTTTGCCTCAGAAGCCCAAGTGAGAGGTCTTGCTCGCTCGTGTGGGTTGGGATGGATGTTAAACCTGCTGCCATCAAAAGCAGTGGATCCTGACCACGCTGAAATTAAACATTTGAGGGCAGGCCCCGCAGACTCATCTCCTTCCGAAATACAAGGCGCAGGTTATGATGCGTTAGAAGTGTCTGACCTTTGCTTCCCTCAGCTCTCGACTCAGCACTGGCCCCTCCACCCCCAGGTGCCATCCACCTGCTCTAGGATTTCCTGGCCACTCTCAGCTGAGTGAGCCCATGACCTGTGCTTCTAGGGGCCCCTAGCCTCCAGTGTCTCAAACCAGCCCCACGTTCAGAAGTGCATGCCCCGTCCAAAGGCAGCTGAGCCTGTGTCCGGGAGGCGACTTCTGACCTCTGGTTCTATCACAGGTGCTTAGTAGCCACCAGCTTCAGGCAGCGTCTCTTCCACCTGGTCCCATCCTTTGCCTCCTTTGCAATAGGAAAGTAAAGTTGTGCTTAGGGAGCTGTGAGTCCTTAGACTAAGAGCGTTTCTGATTTCCAGAGTCTTTCTCTTCCACGTGAGGAAAGTGTGTTGGAAGCACGAACTCCCCAACCGTGGCTACCTTAGGCGCTGCCTGTGTTTGGAATTGAAGGTCTTTTAGCCCATGGCACGTTCACTGCCAAACATCTCAGAATCCTTCCAGAGCGTCAGGGTTTCAGCCAATAGAAAGGAATTTATTTTTAATTGGTGAGGTTGGAAACTTGCTTTTGAGTCAGTTAGAACTAAATAACTAGGTCACCTTGGGCAGATGGGGAGAGAGTAAATGCCCTGAGGTTTGGCCACCCCAGGCCACCGTCCACACTCGGTGCAGTGGCTCCAGAGGAGTGAACATGCCAGCGTCTCAGGTGTCAGCTCTTCCTAGGATTCGTGTGACATTTAAGTGAAATAACCCAAAGTCTAAGCGTTTAGTAAAATGGTTCTTGTCTACGTCATCAGAAAATGATGCAAATTGTTTCCGCTGTTTAAAGAAGGAATTTAATTGGGTAGTGATGTATTCGCTGTATTATAATGGATATTTAAAGGCATTTCCTTGTCTAGAAATAATCCCTGATCTTTCGTTTAACAAAAGACACTCTGTGTTAATATTTGACTTTTTTTTTTTTAATTTATTTTTGGCTGCATTGGGTCTTCGTTGCTGCGCGCGGGCTTTCTCTAGTTGTGGCGAGCGGGGGCTACTCTTCATTGCAGTGTGCGGGCTTCTCATTGTGGTGGCTTCTCTTGTTGTGGAGCACAGGCTCTAGGCACGTGGGCTTCAGTAGTTGTGGCACGCAGGCTCAGTAGTTGTGGCACATGGGCTTAGTTGCTCCGCGGCATGTGGGATCCTCCCGGACCAGGGCTCGAACCCGTGTCCCTTGCATTGGCAGGCAGATTCTTATCCACCACGCCACCAGGGAAGCCCGATATTTGACTTTTAAAAAAAAAAGTCGATTTTAAACTGGAGGAAGAGGAGTCTTTTTAGTACAACCACCCATTCTCATATTTTTCTTCTTCTTTTTTTCAGTATCTAAAAATAGATTTGGGAAGTAATACTATAGTTCATATCGATCATCAGGTACGACCAGAGTTCCCTCAACTGGGGAATGCCTGCAACTCTGTGGGTCTCGGTTGCATAGCGTTCAAAAAATGCAGTGGAATTTCAGAATTAAGACTGTACGGAAGACACATAATTAAGGTTTAAATATTTTCTCCAGGCTCGTTGAGGTCTTACGTTGTTGTACCAAAGCGTATCCACCAGTAAGTGAAATTAAATGACACTGCAGTTTGGCGATCTCACTTTGGTTCATGGAAATACCCAAGGAGTAAAAGAAAACCAAATTGAAGTGCTAATGTTAAATAACAGTGAATTTAATTTTAAAAGTAACTTAGAATATTCATTCACTAGCCTTGTCCTCTGTAAGGATCTACGATTCCAACTCTATCAGTTTCAACGCATGTGATTTTCCTCTTCCAAGTCATGTTTCTTCTTTGGTGTTGGTCTGAACAGTCACCATGGTAGAGAGGCAAAAAGGAAAGAACCTGAAGGTTTTTAAATCAACTGCAGGGGCCTTGTTCTCCCAGGGTGGGGTGAATACTTCAAGCATCCTTTCTGCCCGTCTCAGCTGGGGTTGCATTTCTGTTGGCAGAACAGGTGCTCTATGTCCTGTCCTGGTTTCTGAATCTGTAGGAAGAACAGAGAAGCAGGATGGGCAGAGCACAGGAGATTTGAAAACTTTCTAAGAGATTCAATCCCTGTTTCCTTCCTTTGCCACGTTCTCGGGGTTTTATTAGCATGTATGGACTGCGTGGGTTTCCTATCCAAGCAAAATGTGTTTCTCCCAACAACAAAGCAGTTATTCTCCCGCAAACTGAGAGTAGAAACTGACAGCCAGTTGGAAGAATGCCTTTGGATCTGATGGTGACAAACAGCTCAATCCCTCATTTATTTCCATTTCCATTTTCCCCCAGGAAAGTTTCAACATTCTTCCAAGAAGTACCTCCTAAAAGCGTCCACTAAGTAATTGTTTGTCATATAGCAAAGGCATGGATGTTGAGCTGTCAGAGTTTCCATTTAGAGGAAACAGGAACATAGCTCTCCTATATAAACGCGTGTCTCATCTCTGAGCTCCCAGCAGACCCAGTTCAGAGCTGGAATTGTTCTTCTTGAAATCCTGTTCCTGCTGACAGGAAAACATGGATTCTCGCAGGCCAGGATGGTTCCCCAGCATCGTCCCCGTAGGACAAGAGGTAAAGGGAAACTGAAAGGGGAGCCTTTCTTGTCCCTTGGGATTTATGTCATGGTTTATTTTTATGTAATGTAACTCCTAAGATATTTAAAAATTGGCTTAAAGAATATTATCAGGACGCCTCCGTTAAATGCAACGTTGGCACGCACTTGGGTTAACTTTGTGCAGCCCTGGGCAGGAAATCTGGTACTCATGCTTCAGGAGACTGTTCAATGCACCGCGGCTCGGCCAGGTGGTGCCTGGGGATGGTACAGAGGAACGGTCTGCTTTGGGGCTGCTAGGAAACCGAGTAAGGCTCACTTTTTAGGGAAACAATCCCCAGCTATTGTTGGGGCCCTGGGTTGCCTGGATGACACATCAAAATCCCACCCATTTTAAGTTGGACATTTTCTATTTTTATAATCAAAACCGCCCTCTTAATTTTCCTTAGCAACTAGATTTGTGAAGTGGCATTTCAGTTAAAAGTGACTCACTGAGAAAGTGGGAGGTACCTAGGTGGCCGGGCAGCAAGCTGGTTTTCCAGGAGCTGGTGTCTGGGTTCACGAGGGCGGGGCCAGGAGTCTGGGGCCAAGGTTGTCCCGTCTGTGTAGCTGACGTTGTAGGGACAGATGGCATCGTCAGCTGCAGATCTGTGCCGACTGCCTGGCTAAAGGCAGCGTTCACACTGGGGAAAGAAGACAAGATGTTTATAAACCCGTTGGGTGTGTGACTTACAGAGAACGTTCTCAGACCCATTGGGCCACAGAGTCAGGAAGGAGTCCTGCTACCACAGGGAAGGGTCACGGACCAGCCTCCACTGGATATGGCACCTCGCCCCCAGCTGCAGTCCCATCCACGGGGGACGTCCCTTTGTGAATCGGGACATTCAGCCAGCAGGAGACTCGGTGCTTTCTGTTTCAAAATTGCCAATCGGGAGTGACTTTTTAAAGACTGCTTATTGCGATGCAGAGTTTGCTATAAACTATTTAAAATGTTGGGAAAGGAAAGGTCCCTGTGGAATTGCTGAACAAAAATGTGTCACATAATGGTTTCTCTGAGTAGCTTCTCTCCTTTTTTTGAATCGAAATGAACATAATCTAAAACCAGAACTTGGATTCCTGTTATTTCATGATGGGGACTGATGGAATTCTAACAACCTTTAAAAAATATGTTGACGGTATTCAACTGATTTCAGACAACTCTCCCAAGATTGATCTGCTCTCAGAAATGGTACAGATTTTGTGTTCAGGTCTTACCTATATGTAAATATGTTTAAAGCTGCCGTGTTGCTGCTGAGAAGTTAATTCTTTTTAAAAACGTCACGTTGCTGGAAATTATGATCTGCAAAAGCAGGACTTGATCTATTTCCTGTTTGGCCGGATAACGTCGTAAATGCCTTATGCTGAAAACCTAAATGGCATTGCTGGTAACTCACGTGCGTTCATCGTCCTCTTTGGGCCTCATTGACACCTGGGCGCAGTCTAGGTGTGCGTTCTCACCTCCGCCATAAAGATGGGGAGACAGAGACTTGGGCAGGCATGGAGGGGTGAGAGTACAGTGGGAAGGGGCTCACAGGTCCCCGTGTTCCCTGCACTGAGCCCAGGTTCCTCTCAAACCTCAAAACCAGTCAGGTCTCATGACCACCTCCAAAGGTAAGGTGCAGACCTGCCGAAAAAAGAAAAAAAAAAACCACCCAACAACGCATTTTCCATTACGGAAAATGTGATTTTTCTGTTATGAAAGTAGCAGAGCTCATTACTAACTAAGAACATATCCTGTGGATTCTGCAAACAGTTTTCTGGTAAATAATTATATTTGGGAACACTTTCATGATCGCCTAAGTCGATCTTGGCCAGGGTTCCAAACTATTTCCTCGTGTTATCTGCTGACCGAATCCAGTTTTCTAATCTCTTCCCACACGCTTGCCAGGCTTCCTTTCGGCGTGGCCAGGAGTCTGTCCATTCACTCGCCCAGCGTTTATCAGGTGTCTCCTGCAGGCTTCTGACTGTGCCACCAGGTCTTGAAAAATGCAGCAGGAGATCCTATAGTTCTGATATCAGGAAATATTGCCTGCGGGGTGGATATTGGAGCCCTTTCTTTAGCAGTTCTGACTGTGTGTTCTGTGCAGTAGCCTAGAAAAGGATTGGTCAGAAATCAAGTTTAGTTGTAGAAAGCTGAATGACTTGGACGCGTCCCTTCACGCCCTGAGTCACACCTTCTTTGTTTAAAACATAAAGAGCCCTGTGAGGACTTTTTAAAGGTCCCTTCATGACATAAAGTTCTGTGATCGAGGGCAATGCTTCTCTGGATTTTGAGTTAACAGCAGAAATGCCCCTCAAGTAACCACTGCTGCATATCCTCCGTGTTTGGGGGCTGTCACCTTCATTGCCTTCCCGTCTGAGATGAAATTTGTCCATTGTGATGTAAAGGTTTTATGATCTTTGCTCTGGAAAGGAAGCCGCTGTGTGGGTGCTTGCTCGTCCCTTCTCTCTCTTATTTGTATGTGCTCTCCTGCTGCCCCCCCAAAGAAGCAAGAACCTGTAAAAGAGGGTTTTATTCCTGGAAAACAATATTGGAAAAGCAATCTTCTTCTTTCTGTGATGGTGCTTACGTATATGCGGGAAGTAAAAGCTGGGAATCCGTGGGTTTTGATTTTAAAACTTAAGCAGATACATTAGTTAACAAAACAAAGGTCCTTTCTCCACTGTTTTGCAATCCATCCTGGCAAAGGGTTCTGGGAGCCTGCTATGGTGTATTTTACCTGAAGAACTGATGGACGGGGAAGGTGAATTGCTTCATCTCATCAGATACCATGGAAACCCCAGTACCACTCTGCTCCCCTCTTGTGAGAGTCCTCCAAAAACAATCCCAGCTGCAAAGTGTGTGTTGCTGAGATGAAGTTGGAGATCCCGAAAGCACACAACGTGAGCGTGATCAGGTTCAGAGGCATCACTCTTTCCAGGATCTATTTTTGGCTTCCTTCCAATGTGAAGCCAACCCGACGTTCTGTTTCCCGCTGTGGGTGGATTTATTTAATTTTTCATGAGTGATTCACTACCCATGGCTGTATGTTTTCCTCCTGTGCAGCTGAGGATTAAGTCATGTTTCCTTTTAAAAATTATTTTTGATAGAATCTGAGCCATGTGGCACTCAGAGGGTTTGAGACTAAGGGACACAGTAGTATCACTAAGACAAGGCGCTTAGCTTCCCCGGGCTCTTACAAAATGGCAGTGATGGTGTCACCCTGTGACTGGGATGTTCTCCCCCAGAGGGGACTGCGTCTTATCAAACAGCCAAAAACATCTCTCTCTATAAAAATGTTTTTGTAAGTTGTGTGATTTTTTTAAACATTTTTTTCACTTTGCAACAAATCCATTCCACTTGGAACGCCACATGGTAGGTAGGATTCCCTAACAGAAAGCCTAGTAACAGAATCAGTTTCCATGCAGGTCCACGCTTTTCCCCCCGAGTGGCCTCTGTCTGCCTGGCTGGGTTCTAGTAACCCCCCTGTGTCCATCACCTTAAGTGACAGTAGCTCTGGACCGCAGAGCTGTTCTGCTCCCGTCTCAGGCTCAGTCCTTGCCAGACTGTTTCTACTCAGCGGCATCTCAGCCCTGCTCCTTGAGATGCATGAGGAGTGAAGATCATCTGTCTTTACCATGAGGCACTCCCTCCTGGCCCGAGCACAGACCAGGGATCCTCCAGAGAAGCAGTCCAGGCGCCTGCCCTGCGCCCAGGGCTTCCAGCGTCAGATCTCCACAGTGCTGCCTGACCAGATGGGTGAGCACCAGAATGGCAAATGCAGGGACCAGAAAGGTCCGGAGGCAGCAGGAGACGGTACAAGTCAGAGAAGAATAACAAAGGAAGATGAGGATGCGGCGGGAGGGCAGGTGGGCAGCTCTGTGGAGTCAGTCCAACCAAACAGCATGACCAGAAAAGGAGCAGAGGAGGGGCCGGCCTAGGGGTCAGAGGCTCGCCGTCTCTCCCGACTGGCTGAGTGGCTTTAATCAAGTCGCCCACCTCCTAAGAGCACTGTCTCCTTAATCGCCCACCTCTGGAAGGCTCCGGCATTCTTTCCATCCAAGATGGGACCCCAGGAGATAGCAAAATTCTACTACAACATTAATAGCACAAAAAGTCATCTGTGTTCTGGGTGAGGACACTGGAAAGTGCAAGAGGCCATGGCTGGGGGGTTGCTTTTCTTTAGGGACGATCTGCCTTTAACCAACATCCTAGGTTCAGGCTCAGGGCTTCCCCGAGCTGTTTCCCTGCAAAAGAGACACCCCTTCCTCAGGGTGGCTGCTCCCGGGCCTGGTAAAGCTCAGGAAAACCAGCTTCGCTGAGAGCCAAACTGCAGGCCTGGAGCAGGAACCTCCGAGGCTCCATCCGTGTGTAGGTGCACCACTGTCAGACCTTCAGCTACCACACCAGACATCCAGGTACCGCGCCCGAAATCCACACAGCATGTCGGAAATCCAAATACTGTGCGGGAAACCCAAGGACCTGGTCAGAAAATCGAGAACTGTATCTGGGCCTTTGTAATGATGGTACAAATGGGAGTCTTCATTTTCACCAGACCATGGTGAGCCCTTTCTGAGATTCATTTTAGAGATTAAAAAATTTAACTTTTATTTCAGCTGGGCTGTAACACTCCTTATAAAAAAAACTGTGTCTGTTGTATATATCACAGTGTCCCTGGCGAATCTGAAAAAAGTGTTGAAATCGACCCTGATCACAGAACCCAGCGGGCTGGACTGACGGTGAACAGACGATCGAGGAAACGGTTCCTTGAAATTTCTACACCAGATTCTGGGAAAGTCAGAGAACCATATCAGTGGTGTCTGAGAAATCGTGGCAGTGCTCTCCAAAAATCCACAGGAAAGGGTTTCCTTCAAGGGTATGGTTAAGAGAGAATTAAATACTAATCTTGAGGAATGAAAAGTCAAATTCAGAGAATGGTCTGATGGCATAGGACTGCCTGTTCAGCTTTAGAAAATGCATATTTCAAAATATAAAACTTCTGTTTTCTACTTTTTCCCATGATTTATGTAATGTGTGACACTTAACGTGAAACTAATGCTTGATTGGATCCTTGCAGAGGGACAGAGAACAATGGATTTGGCCCTCATGGCTGCCTGTGACACGTAGGGGCGTGTCAGCTCCTGGAGGACAGCAAATGTCCTAATTCAAATCCCCAGGGGTGGCCTGGCACCTAGCAGACCTCCGCATACAGTGGATGAATGAGTAAATGAATGAATGGACTGAGGGAGAGTGGGGAGCGAGGCAGTTAGCAGAAAGAAAACAGCATTTTGCCTTCTCCGCAGCGCCTGGGGCGGCACTTAGCAAGACCAGGGCCACCTACAGAAGATGCCAGATTGCTTGTTCAAAAAGCAGGAAAAAAGCTTTCTCCTTTCTTCCGTGGTCTCTGGACCTGCCAGAGTGTTTTATACCTTCCACTTAATGTCATGCTCCCTGGGGGTATGGGGATTCTCTCAGGCAGTAGAGACCCTCAGAGATGCCTGGCACCTGCCCTGGAACTTGGCAGGTGGCGTTTGCGTATCAGGGGCCAAAAATGGACCTTTAGGAACCAGTCCTGGGAAGGGGGCAGAAGGTGTGAGTCGAGGCCCCAAGCCCCTGGCAGGATGCAGAATTGTTCCGTCAGACTTCACTTGCCAAACACAAATTCAGAGATAAAATTCTTCCAAGTTCAAGAAAGTGTCTGCAGCATTAAGCCCCAGGCCGTGAGCCCCTTCTGAGTCTCTGGTCTCAGACCCCGAAGCAGGCTCTGGTGTGAGAAATGGTGGTCAGAGCACTGGAATGTTCCCCCGGGGCATTTTGCGATAAAGGATTTCACCCCCCCCCCCCCCCCCCCCCGGAACATGATCTATTTCCAGCTAGATCTTTACTTCTCCCTGCTTCCATCATTAGTTTCTGGAAAGGTCTCCCCCCCACCTCCGCCACCGCCAGCGCTGCCAGCCCTCCGTATCTGACCCCCAATCCCAGGTGACTTTCTGCCACCCTGTTTCGATTTCTTTATATTGTTGTGGAAACGCTCACTACTCTTTGGAACGGCCATATTCACCCACTCTCTCCCCTTCTAGAACGTAGGCCCTGTGAGGACAGGGATCGTGTCCCTCTGTCCCTGCACGCAGGTGCTGGCACGTGAATGAATGAATACGCTTTAATACTCCTGACACTGCTTTAGCTCCATTTTGGAGCAAGAGGGATATAAATAAACAAATGAAGGCAATTAACACCCCCAAGATTTCCAGTAAATCCCCCAGGATTTCTTCTGTCTAACACCAGACTGGCTTCAGTGATTTCTTTGACAGGTGAGGCTGAGCTGGTATTGTTTTCTCTTGTGCCTGCATGGCAGGTGTCAAATGGGCATGCTGGTACTTCTGGCCCACTTTTTGCCTGAACTCGGGGGAAAGCAGTGTTCCAGGTGTGCACTGGTCCCCAAACCAGGCCAGAACTACATGTTTCAACTCCATTTGGGTTTTTTTTTTTTTTTTTTTTTTTGTGCAGTACGCGGGCCTCTCACTGCTGTGGCCTCTCCCGTTGCGGAGCACAGGCTCCGGACGCGCAGGCCCAGTGGCCGTGGCTCACGGGCACAGCCGCTCCGCGGCATGTGGGATCTTCCTGGACCGGGGCACGAACCCGTGCCCCCTGCATCGGCAGGTGGACTCTCAACCACTGTGCCACCAGGGAAGCCCTCCATTTGGGTTTTTAATGGCAGTTCTCTTACCCACCCCTGCACTCATTTTAGGCAGATTCCTAAGAGCTAAGGGGTATGCTTTCCAATCAAAGCCACCTACACGCCTTGAAATTCCTTGTCTTGAAAGGGATGTGCTTTAGGTCAATCAATTAAAGGTGTAGTCTAACATGAGGACCTGTTATCCACCAAAGGTTTTATACACCAAGGAGAATGACCGAGGTTCAAGCCCCGCACAGCACAGGGCTGAGCGGTGGGGAGTGGCAGCTGGACCCAGCTCTCAGAGCAGCCCCAGGACCCAGGGGGAGAGGCAGGCGGGGCTAGGCACCTGGGTTCGGAGAGCTCTCACTGCCTGGGACCCCTAATTATCACCTTCCTACACCAAGCTGCTGGTCGCAGCCTTACCCTCCCACAGTCCTGGGGGAATAGGTGACATGGGTAACTGAAGAAAATACAAGGAAATTAGGTGAAAAAGACCTGAATGTGCAAAATAAGTCATGCTAGCCTGAACTGCCCCTGCGGTGTGGAGTAGGATAGGATCTCGGAATTAACAGAGTTATTTGTAATGAGGTGGATGGACCTAGAGTCTGTCATACAGAGTGAAGAAAGTCAGAAAGAGAAAAACAAATACCGTATGCTGACACATATATACGGAATTTAAGAAAAAAAAATGTCATGAAGAACCTAGGGTAAGACAGGAATAAAGACACAGACCTACTAGAGAATGGACTCGAGGATATGGGGAGGGGGAAGGGTAAGCTGGGACGAAGTGAGAGAGTGGCACTGACATATATACACTACCAAACGTAAAATAGATAGCTAGTGGGAAGCAGCCGCATAGCACAGGGAGATCAGCTCAGTGCTCTGTGACCACCTGGAGGGGTGGGATAGGGATGGTGGGAGGGAGGGAGACGCAAGAGGGAAGAGATATGGGAACATATGTGTATGTATAACTGATTCACTTTGTTATAAAGCAGAAACTAACACACCATTGTAAAGCAATTATACTCCAATAAAGAGGTAAAAAAAATAAAATAAAAAAACAAAACAAAAAAAACCCAGTGTGTTTTGTGTTATCGCTCAGGGGGGTTGGTCAGAACCCCCTGAATTTCAGGCAGGTAAGCTGTTAGCACTTCTGCAGCCCACTGTCATAGAAGGAGTTACATTCAGAAGCCGAGTCTCACCACATCGCTGTATTTTTAGAGAGTGAGAGCGCCATCCCCTCCACGACCCACAGCCCTCATGAGCCCTGCAGCCTGGACCTCGGACTCGGCTCTGTGACATCCCGGAAGCTCCTGGCTGCAGGGGCCTTCCTCCTTGCTGCCTGGGCTTCAGACACGTTGAGTAAGAGGCAAAGCACACCATCTCTCCAGGGAAATGGATGGAGCAAAATCCAGGAAAACAAAAACAAGGGAACTGCCTATAGCCGAGTGGGTTGGTATATCTCACGAGTAGACTTGGTGCCTCTCAAAATCTCCTTATCCTCAGAACTCAGAGCACCTTAAGCCAGGAGCCATGCTTGGGGTTCTCCTCTCTGAGAAGGATGACTTCGGATCTGTGTGGCTGGGGGTTGAATACTGGGGTCATCCTGGCTCCTGGGAAAGGCTGCGGAGAGTTCTCTGCTCTGATGGAAGGTGGTACCACGGGATCGGTGCTGAGGGCAGAGTGATTCTTCCTGGTGTGTAAAACCTATGGTTGATAACAGGCTCTCATCTCAGACTGCATCTTCAGTTGACTGATTTAAACATATCCCTTTTCAAGGCACGGGATTTCAAGGCCAGTAGGCGGCTTTGCTTGGTGGGCATAGCCCTTGAATCTTGAAATACATCGGAACTGGATGGAGCTATTTTTCTCCCTCTGAAGCAGAGGAGGTTAGGTCATGGTGGTCCCTCTCCAGGAGGAGAGGGTGCAGCCCGGGGGCTTGCCAGAATGTGGGTGTCGCAGCCCGAAGGCCAAGTTCAATCACCAGGGGCTGCCTGACAACCAGTGAGTCCTGTGCTTTGTAGGGCCTCCATGTGAAGGACTTAGGTCCCAGAGGCCCCTAAATTCTCGGGGTCTGTGGATCCGGGATAGCACCACAGAACTACTGGTACTCAGCTGATGGCCCAGAGCCTGGAGGCAGGGTTTGGAACCGGACGGTACCCAAGGCTTCTGTAGTTTCAGATAGCTCCGTGCAATAGATAGTTATAAACACCTGTGAAATCCCCTGTTTTCCAATGATGCTGCAATATTTGATTAATGCTTCTGGATGGCATCACAGGATGACCGAAGCAAGCACTGCTTGGAGTTGTGGTGAATTTGCTGAGCATGAGAGGAAAATTGTCAGGTCAGGAGCCTAATCATTTTTAACTTGTCTCATTTGGCATTCTGTCCGTGTTTACACTCAGGCTACACACTGGGAAAAAAAAAATCCCAGACCACCTTGAACGAAATGGTTTTGACCTCTATTTCTAAAATGTGTGTTAGCATGAAACAGGGAGCTTTCTCTGAGGGTTCAGCAAGCAGTCTACTCCACCTGCTTCTGTCTTAGCTGCCAACCTTGGGTATCAGAGTGCCAGGTTTCTCTGGGAAAATTCATGTCATGGACATCTTGTTGCCAGGAAGCGCACCATTCACTTTTCATTTCAAGATGATGTAAAGTCTCACAAGTTATTCCCAGCGTGGATGCGGAGCAGTGAATGATGTCTAATTGTGTGGAAGGGGGAGAGCTCCTCTAAGAAGCTCCTCTAAGAAGCATGGTGTCGGAAGCTTCCATCGCTCCGCAACATTGTAACTTAACTTCTGTTTCACCAAAGGCAGTTAATTGGGCTGAAGACTCTCGTGCATATGATAGTAGAGGGGCATATCTTCAACCTGCCCTGATAAAAACATTGCTTCCACCGTAGAAAATAAACCCCTAGGGGAAGATTGCGGATGGGGGCAGGCTGCATGCTGCATACCAGGGGGTGGCATGTGGAGGGAGATACTGGTTCCCCCATTTCTCCTGCATTATACTAACTTTAGATAAAGTCT